AAGGTACCTGAGATGGAGAAGATGAGGAATCCCCGGGGGCTTACCCGGCGGGAACACTCCGACGCTTAAGTTAGAGTTCTGTGAAAGATGCAAAGAGAGGAAGAAAGTTAAGAGTGCAGATAGCGCGGGTATCAGAAAGTTACCTCTGTCCTTTAGGATTGGGCTACTTATAACAGAACTCTATCGAATCAGGCCCACCTGCCTCTAACAGGGCAAGTATAACCGCCACTGTCGTCTTGCCCCAGCCATTACAGCCAAGGCTGAGGTGGCACGTGTGGGGCCGTCCTTGCAGGGTACATACCTGTCAGGTGTAAGACACCTTCTAAAGGCGGCGGGCACAACACTGCCTGACGAGTGACGTGGTTGTAGTCTCCAGGTTTGTCGGGTACGGTGGTCGGGCAGGAGTCCTTCCTGTGATGTGTCGAATTGCTCTTCTGCGAGCTACCCTGTACCGAGCTACCCTACAAGTGGTGAGTTGCCTATGGCAAGCTACACCGAGTTGTTTGGCCTAAGGTGTCTTTACCTCGGGGGTATCTAAAGGCAGATCGTAGTGTTCCTGTTCGGGAGTGGCCTAAAATCCACTGGGAGGAGCTCGAGCATTAGGAAAGGTCAGGGGGCCCCGAGCTCAGAGGTAGCTCGGAGTGCCTCAGCCTTGTGAAGGAGGTGCAAGCCAGGCAGCTCTCGGCGAGTAGCCTAACCCGTCGAGTTGCCAGACTAAACTCGGTGAGCCGTTCCCACCGAGTTGCGGTTGCGCTTGCGGTGTTGTCACGCTGAGTCATCGCTTGAGCAAGGTCATGCCCACATGCACCTGTGCTACAAGATCGGGACAAATCACCCTCCATCAATTGCCCCCACTCCCTGTGCTGGCGGTGTTGACCCAGTGCGAGGAGTTCATGACACGCCGGGTGGATTTGGCTTCGGTACTCATGCCACTCCGTCGTGCGCTTCGTCCAGCTGGACTGGTCCAATGCTCGGCTCGATCAAGAGAAACCCGGGTCGTGTTCAGTTTACGCGCGGACCTCACAAGATTTGGACTTCGCGGATGTCAAAAACGCGCTAAACTGATTTCACCTCGAAGAGCCCATAGCCGGTTTCTTTGAGAGTCGTTGGATCATCTCAATCTTGACCGTTAACGCCCGGATGCAGTGGCTATAAATAGTGGGGGACCCTTGGTCGTTTCTTTGCCACAAAGTCTTCAGCGTCAGTGTTGAGCTCCCGTCTGAGGTTCCTAGTTCGGGTTTTCTAGCTCAGTTATTCCCTTAGTTCTGTTCGCGTTTCCTGCGGTGAGTCCCCGAGCTTCCTTTTCTTTTCTAAACATTCTTTCCTTTTCATGTTACCATGTCGTCTAGTGTAGATAGCCTTATCGACGAGCCCGAGGTGGGTACCTCGGCTCAGGGTGGCTCTTCTGCCGCCCAACCGTACGACGTACGGGTGACTTCGGGTCATCTGGCATCCACCTCCCACCGAGGTCGGGTGCCAGATCAGTTCGACCCTTCCACCATGACTCCGAAGAGACTCCAGGACCTCATTCAGAGGTTCCACCTTCCTAGGGAGTACTCTTACAGTCTTCCTACTGGCAGCTTTCCATGGGAGCACGGTCCTGATGAGATCGTAGTCTTCAGGGAGCAACTGGTCGCCGGACTTTGTCTTCCTCTTCTCCCTCTGATTGTTGAGGTATTGGTGCACTTTAACATTACCTTGGACCAGCTTCACCCGAATTCCATACGGAATGTGGTTGGGACCATTTCCCCTCTGCTTCAACCGCTCCTTCCCCATTGACCTAGATATCCTCAGTACCATCTTGGCAATAAAGAAGAGCGCTTCGGGTGCTCTCCCGGGCACAGGCGGGCTTATTATCAGTTTCCCTGCTCGAGTTTTAAATTAATGCATAAGCTCCCCCGAGTAAAGTCCCGGCCTGGAAGCAAGACTACTTCGTAGTTCGAATCAGCATGGGGTGGCCCTTCCCTACTGACTAGAGGGTGGCCGTTCAAGACCCCGGTGTTATCCTCGATGGGAAGACTAAGAAGTCACTTCAGTCGTGGGCTCAACTCGGGTTGAATTACAAGGACTTCACAGCCGAGGAGAAGCTCATCCAGGCCAGCTTGAGTCAGGGTAGGTCTTGTCTTTACTTGGGCTTTTTTGTTCGCATACTTACTTCAGGATTACTAACGCCGAGCTTCGCTGCAGGTCCCATGGAGGCGGAAAAGATAGACAGTCAGAGGCTCTTCCGCCAGATGAAGAGGAAGAAGCGCGTAGCCAAGAAGGCGCGCGTCGAGTCCCCGTAGGCCTCTACCGAGGTTCAGCCTCCACAGGCCCCGGCTCTAGAGCCCGAGCTCCCCGGCACTCAACCTGTCATCGACGTGGAGGGAGACATGGCACCTCAGGGGCCCGAGATGGCGATAGAGCCCACCACCGAGCCTGTCGAGACTGTTGCCAGGGACGCCACTGAAGTTGCCGTTGAGGCTCGCCCTGCAGAGGCTACAACCGAGGCTTGTCCTGTGGGTGTCGCCGCTGATGCTTCCGAGGAATCCACCCATGCGGCAGAGATGTCAGTATCCAGCTCGAGGAATCAGGAGGGTCAAAGCATTCTGAACCCCATTGCAGCCTTCAGAAGAGTAAGGAGGCTACGTACTCGGAGGAGGTCGCAGAATGGGCCGATCTCACCCCTGGTCAGCTCGGTGCTCGAGCTGCTTCTCATACCATGCTGGTGAGTTCCTTGTGAAAGATTCTCTTTCTCCTCTCTCTCTCTCTCTTTTTCTTTTTTTTTACTGGTCTCCTTTTTGTAGCTGAATTCAGTTGTGCGTGACTTGACCTTTCAATCTGGTCGGCATCTGAGATGGGCTTTGGAAGCTGAGAAGTCATCCCGCGCAGCCCATACCGAGCTGAGGGCAGCTCGCGGTCAGATCCACCGCTTGCAGAATGATGCCTTAGCTCAAAAGAGCTTCATCGAGGTGTTGCTGGCGGAGAAGAGTGAGTTGGCCCGAGACAAGGACAAATTGAGGGCCGAGGTGAACGGGTTCGAGGCGGACAGTCTCAAGGCAGACCGGGATGCCCTGAAGCTCGAGGTGCAGGGCCTCAAGGAAGCAAAAGAGAAGTTTGAGCACGAGGTGGAGTACCTCCAAGGCAACATCAAAGAGAAGACCAAAATCTTTGAGGACGCCCTCAAGGAGAACAAGGTTCAGGCTGTCAGTGACTATGTTAAGTCTTCGAGGTTCGACGACGTGATGACCGAGGCCTACCGCAAGGGTTTCAAGCTCAGTCGGTGGTTAATTAGGCACATCTACCCCGGTCTTGATACGAGCGCCATCACCACTTCGCGGATCACTGATGACATAGTGCGTAAGTCAGCGGATGATTCGGACTCCGAGGACGAAGGCGTCGACGACAATGTAGAGGCCACCGGTCCGATTAATGCCTCTGAGGAGGTCTCTAGCAAAGGCGATGAGCCTCCGAAGTAGTTCAGCCCCTATACCTGCGAGCTTGATCTTTTTTCCCCTCTTGTAACAAATTTTTTGTAATGAAAATACACTTTGCTAAGTGCTGTGCATATTACTTTATTTGCTGAAGTGATTATTTTACCCCGAATTGTTAAGCTATCGAGCTAAATACCTGAAGCGGGGATTTCTCGACTATCGTCACCCCGAACTGTCTCCCACTACTTAGCAGGGGTAACCTTATGTACACCAAGGTGAGCAACATAGTTGGGTATATGCCCGACCTGTCTGCACCTGGGTTAAGTTGACATCGGTTGTCCCTAATGGGTTCAACCTGTTGTATGCCGGGGCGGGCTATGCATCACAAGGTTTGTACCCGAGCTGCCTACGCCTTAGGCATTACAAGTACTTAGCCTATGTCGATGAGGCGGCTAGGTCTTATATGGTGCTGAGGTCATTCATTAGCTCGGCGTTTTAGCCCTTAGGCTGGGGGAGCGGCTTATAGTCTGCTCTCCTAGAGTTCGCCTGTGCCGAAGAGGCGACAAGGTCTTATAGTGCCGAGGTCATGTTAACTCG